CCTGCTCTGGCACATGTATGCAGGATAGAATACGTTTCATTTGTTTCGGAGCCAAGAATGAGTGCGTTACTATGGTACTCCCCTTAGGATTTGTATGTGCTCTGGGCTCATGAAGATATTACATCATGAGCTGGGGCAGTTGTACTCCTTTTTGATGACCTAAAAAGGGACTGTGACCTAAAAAGGGATTGTACCACTGTTAATTAGCCAAATTATTTGGTCTAACAGTTTTTCTTTATCGTTCTGAAACTGGGTTTTTCTAATACATTGATACATTATTTCAAAGGTATTTTGATAGTTCAAATCCCTTCACTTTTACCCTGACACATATAAATGACTAGGAATGACCTTCAGATAGCGTTTAGCATCTGTAACCTATCTGACAATAATGTGTTCATCAGGTACCTATGGATTAAATCACATACTGGCATATTTAAGCTGAATGTCAGTCTGAAAAATAAATGTGCTATATTACCTGAAATACCACTCTTTGGGTAGGTATTTTGTCATATGTTTAAGAAAAGGCTAAAAAGAATGGAAATCCTATGACAATAACTTAAGTCTTTCTTCAAAGTGCATGCAGTCTTCGCAATACCTCATTCAGCCAAGTATTTGTTCTCTTCCTCATTCAGTATAAGGCAGCTTTCAATTTGCTTAGAAGGCAACATTAGAAGGTCAGAGTTCAGTAGAAACATAGAATTTTAAAGTGTGAGTTCAACTGAATAAATTTGAATTTCTGTAGGAAGTAAAAAATCAAAATGCCTATTGAAAGACTGCAATATACGCTAATTATTTTTAAAGTGTTTGATTAAGCCTGATAGGTTTTCCCAAAATGAAAAAAACTCAGTTCTAAAACCAAAGCTGCTTTGTACAAAACATGAAAATGTAAATCACCCCATCCATAATAGCTTCTCTAAAACTTTATGTTGCAGTCACTTTCAAATAACTATTCAAAAATGTAACTGCTGTATTAATGTCTTGAAATAAGTTAAAACATTTTAAACTATGAACACCATAGTTTAAAACAAAGAATCTAGGGGAAGGAAAAGTAGAGAAAGAAATGCCAATTCCAGTCCAACGCTTTATTTGCCAAGTTTTCTTAGAATTACTTTTACCAACTTATGATTTCTGGTAAACAGAATATATAATGGAAATACTGACTTTTGTCTAAAGTGGCATTCTTGACTGCTTCTGTGATGCTACTGTAATGTAACAAATTATGAAATTCTTGCAAGGTGCTGTTTTTGCCTTAAAATATAGTGTGTCTTGAAAACTCTAGTATTAAAGGTATTGAGACTGTGCAAATGCCGGGAACATTGGCATGAGATAATCAGTTTTTATTCTCACAAACTTGTAACTATGTAAGTGTGTTTATTAAAAGAACATAAACTAAAAAGTTACAGGAATTAAAAGTTGTGGGATGAAAAAGTTATGGGATAAAAAATACGGTAAGAAAGTTGTGGAAAAAAGTAAAAAAAAAGTTTTATGGAAAGTTTTTTTTTTTAAAAAGTTATGAAAAAGAAGTTACTGGATTTAAAAAAAATCATGGAATAAAAATAAATAAAAGCAGGCCCCTGTCAGCATAAGCCTGGGGAAGTGGGTCTGCAGTCTTCACCCCCACCATGTCCCTACAACCCCTTCCCAGTCACCCCTTTACCATCAGGGTAGCAACACAAGACTCCTGTCTAATGGAGGGAGAAAAACAGACCCTTTACCACCTTGACCAAGGCTGAGTCCTTACATTTCTGGATGATGATGTTTGTTATTTAAGAGCCAGAGGTTGATGGAGTTGGTTTGTTTGGAGGAGGTGTGATGGCCTCCTTACCTTTCCCTCAGGGGGGCTCCCATCTTCTTACTCAGAGAGGCAGCTGAGGCGGGAAAGTGGAGCTATCTGTAGACCAGGCGAGGGCACGGGCTGCTGGGGGTGACCCGCCCTTCCCCCATGTACATACTGTATCTGTGTAACATTCTGTATGTATCGTACCTAGCGGAGGTTGCAGCTGGCAAATGAGGAAGAGGTTCTTATAATTATTTGCAGCTGAGAAACTTATTTATTGCTAGCATAGGAGCGAGGAAGGAGGCGGGGAAGGAGGCATGGCTCCCTGGTGATGGGACTCCTGTTTTCTTTGCTTTTATTTGGGAATAAATGAATTTAGCCATACTGCTCAACCTGGTATGTTCCCGTTTCCCTCAGTGGGTCCTGCAGTTTGTCCCATTGAAAGAGGAGCCCCAGAGTGTTTGAGCATGTCCAGTTGGGCTGTTGGGGATCTTCCAGGCCTGTTGCCTGGATGCTGCCTGGTGAAACCTGGTGGATTTCACGGGGACTGCCATGGCGCCTAATGGGCACAGTGCAGCCCTGACAGCTAACAGGTTCAGAAGACTGATCTAGCTGTGGCCGGGAAGACAACACCAGCACCCGAGGGCACTGACTTTCACCCACCCCAGGTGTCTTCCATTCCATCCCCCAGCCTCCCTCTCCTGTCTGCACCAGGTGGTCTGTCTGTCCAGAGTGCAGGCTGCCCCACAGGCTCCCTCCAGGCTGAGTTCACAGCCCTGACCCCTAGTGGCCAGAGTCGGCGTCACAGGATAAGAGCCAGCTAAGCTCCAGGGACTTCCTAGGAAAAGAGTCCCCTGGAAAGGGTGTGACCTTTTCACCGCTCCCAAAAGTACCCTAAAAATGGCTTGGACTTTTCCCTCCCCTGAGCTCCACAGAGAGCACAGCCAGCAGAGGACACATTCTCTGTCAACCAGAAATGGGCTGGAGTCTCAGCCGAGGGACAGCAGGACTGGAAGAGACTGTCAGTCCACACAGCTGCCTGCACAGCACCCCCATGCTTGCCCAGAATGGCGGGAAGGATTGCGGGGGTTGGCTGTCCACAGGCCGGGCATGACAGGGAGGCTCCCTGGAGGTGGTGCACTTTGGAGGGGCAATGTCAGGAGACAGCTTCCTCTTGTTGGGCCACAAGACTCCCAAGGACAGCACAAGGACTGATTCCCATGGCTAGAGGCGAGGCAGTTGGCCACGTGTGTGTGTGTGTGTGTGTGAGAGAGAGAGAGAGAGAGAGAGAGAATTTACAGCTATTTATAGAACAGGGCAGGGGCATACCACAGAGGGGGCACAAGTTTTCAGCAACGGTCACAGCTGGATGTGTCATCTCACCACTACAACAGACTAAGTCACAGATGAAGGGAGCTGGCTTTGGGGCTGTGGGAGCCACTATCAAGTCACAGGACACCCACCCATGCAGGCTTGGAAAGGGAAGTCTCTGAGAAGAGGAGGGATCTGTTCAGAGGTGAAGGGGGGCCTGGGGCTCTCAGGACGGGATGGACTTGCCTGACCCAATCAGCTGGCATTGGAGAGAATGCAGAGAGAAAACAGGTTAGAGAAAAGCCAGAGCTGGTGAGGGAAGTGCAGAGCATGGGTGCACCATAGCAGCTGTGAGAGGGCTGGAAAGGGGAGGGTGTAAGTGTGGGCATGGCAGGGTTCCTGGAAAAGAGAGGCTGGAAGGGAAAGGGGAGGAAGATGGAGGGAGAAGCCAGAGCTTCATAGGAAGTGCCCGGGGGCTGCGGCGGCCCTCCCCACCCCACACACGCTGACCTCCCTCATGGCACCCAGGCAGTCCACCCACAGTTCAGACCAATGCCAGCCCCCAGGACTTCCCTCTTCTCTGGTCACCCTGTCTTCCAACCCACTGGCCCAGGCACACCTCTTGCTTGGGGAGCCCCACCCAACAGCCACCAGGCCTGATAGAGAAGGAACACTGCTTGAAACAAAATGGTGAAGCTATAAGGGATGGATGGCTGGACTGAGCGCCAGAGGCCCCTTTGGGCAGTCAGAAAGCCCAGGGTCCTCTGAGGAACCCTGGGGAAGGCAAGGAGGACAGGTAGCTGGATGCCACTGGGCATAGACTTGTAAGTCTAAGAGGGGAGCCTCAACTGGTAGGCAGGGGGCTGCAGGTTGCATAGGTGAGGCTGGACCCATCCTGCTTAGAACAGCAGAAAAGGAAGAGTCCGTGGCAGGACAGGCAGGTGGGCTCGCTAGGTGGAGCTCGGCTGGGCCAGCAGGCACTGTGGTCTCTTTGGCTGAATAGCACAGGCGACCCCTAGGAGCAACAGGCCAAGGTGAGTGAGCCTGCTGGTCGGTGGTAGTGCTTCAGCGGGGGCCAGGGACCCTGCCTTCAGTCCACGCTAGCAGCTATGATGGTACCTGGGAGGGAGGGAAGGGGGCTATGTCTCCCTGCCCGGTCTGTGAAGTGTGTTGTGGGATGACTGTGTGTATGGGACTCTCAGGCTTTTATACTGGATCACCACTGAATTGCTGACAGATAGAGGATGTGGGACCCTAACTATCACCCTTAATCTGCAGTGGATTTGGCTCTCGGCACTCCCAGGCTGGGAGCTGGATACCTGCCCTGGCAGCATGACTCAGACTGCATGACAGGTACAGCATGCCCAGGATGATGTGCCTAGGCCTCTGACTGCCTCAGAGTCCAGCCCTACATACAACCCCCTCCAAGCTCCCAGCCCCTACACCATAAACCACGAGCTCTGTGCCCTCTCTGATGGCTCCACATCTGCCAGCTTGGGCATGGAGCCTTTTCTAGGAGCCCCCAGGCTCAGCCATGGAGACCTTGAGCAGTGGCACTGAGTCCCATGGCTCGCAGGGAGGGAAGTGAGACAGCCAGCAGCACAAGGACAGAAAGAGGAAAGAGCAAGTCTGCAGCTCCAGAAGGGAGGAGCAGGGAGCCTGGCTCTGAATCCCCAGGTGTGCCCCCCGTGTGGAGCTGAGGCAGCAGGGCGGGCAGACCTTTCATGCAGCAGGCAGCAAGGCATGTACCTACCAAGGCTGACGCTCCTCAGGGAGCACCATTAGTGATTCTGAAAGACAGCATCAAATCACATGGCAGGTCACACGCATGGGTGGGGCAGGCCTGAGGGTGGGGGACACACAGGCACATGCCGGAGTGTGCACGCACATGCTGTGAGGCCCCACGGCCCGCATGCCCACACTAACACACATGCCCACAAACAACACGCATACGCCGCCTTCTCTGCCACCTGCAGGTGCCCAGCACCCTCACCGGCCGGCTTGTGCCGCATGGATCTGGGACGTGCAGCCAGTCGGCACATTGAAGCACATGCGTGGGAAGAGTCACAGCACAGATGCTCACCTGCACACAGAGGCATTTGCACCAGCTCCCTGCACACTCGTGCCTGGTGTGCTCAGAGGACCACCCACGCTGCTCATGGAGACAGGGCTTGCTCACTAATGTCCAGCTGTCATTTCTCCACCTAAGAGCCTTCCATGGTTCCCTACTGCCTACAGCATTGAACCCCAACAAGTCACACTCTTCAGACTTTGAAAGTTCTCCACCCTATGCCCCATCTTCCCCACAGAGTTCTTCCTCATTCTGTCTCTGTTCCCTGCTTTGGCCAGGGGCTATCCTCGATGTGACCCACACTACACCTCTGCCCATGGCAGCTTTTTACCCAGTTATCCTCCAATTCCTCACCACGTAAGCCTATCTCAGTCATGCCCCGGACTGCATTGAAGCCAGCCTGCCTTGAAGAAGTTCTCCCAGACTGCCCTTTTCCCCAAGGTAGGGTCATGATTTGTCAAATGTTTAGCGTGTGTTAGCAAGACTGGAGTCGCAGCAGGCATCAAACCTTACATCCCATATGTCACACCTCACCATAGACCTGGGTGCCAAACAGCCTGAAGAGTCTGAACTCACGTTGGCAGTTAGCAAAGTGCTCCTACGGCTGCATCGGCAGTTAACATAGCATCCCTATGGCCACTGTCTCCCTGGATCTCCACAGCCATCCTAGGAGAAAGGCAGATCATCATCATTTGATAGAAGGGATACTGAAGCTCTGGGAGGAAAGGGGACTTGCCTAAAGCCCCAGGGTGAAGCAGCAAATCTGGACTCTCATAGACAGCCTAGAGCTGCCAGCATTCCCTTACGATCTGTGCCCTTGGGCCTGGCTTAATTTCTTCCTCTCCAAAGAGCCATCTGTAGGGCCAGAGGCTGGCAAAGCCTGACTCATCACTGGATGCCAGTTCCTTTGCCTGACTTTCAGTGATTCCTATCTTACCCTGGGGTTTTGTGTTTCTTGTCTCAACACTATCATTTCTCATTCCTCCACAAGTTGAATTGCTCACTCCAGCCACTTGAAGCATGCTCTTCTGGACACAGTTAACTCTATGCACATGGCTGGTGCTAAAAAGAAACAAAGAGCGTTATGTCAATTTCATTGATTAACAAAACTGATGGCTCCACTACAAAGTAAAGTTGATACTGCCTGGGCCTCTGAGTTCAACAGCCTTTTAGACAAATGGCTCCGAGCTAAAACATGAGCATGCACGCATTCGCATCTGTCTCCGTCTGATGACATAATCTGGGTATCGGTTGTTATCCTTGAGCATTTTCCTGCCTCATTAATGCATGTGTAGCTAGCACAATAATAATCATAGCTATTAATGGCTAAAGCTGAGGGCCTTCCTGAGCCAGGTAGTGGCTTTAAAAACTTTAAAGTGGCTTTTAAAACTTTAACAGCTAAAGCTGAGGGCTTTCCTGAGCCAGATAGGGGCTTTAAAACCTTTAAAGTTTTCACATAGGCTCTCATTGAATAATTTCTGCTTTTCAAACCAAGAAACTGAGACTTACTATCACATTTGGGATTAAGTTTTAAAAAAAAAAAAAAAAAAAGAAAGAAAGAAAGAAAGAAACTGTGGCTTAAACCTGTCAAGTATTTCAAAGCCAGCAAGTGGCTAAATCGGAACTTGAACCCAGGCAGTGTAGCCCTGGGATCCTGTGCCCTTACCCAGTATCCAGTGTTGGCTACACAAAACTCATGAGTACATGTTTTCAACTATAGTTTAAGGGGGTGACAAATTTTTCACTGTATTTTATGTAGGTGACTTTCAGTTAGGGGGTATTCTACTTACACCATCTATTGAGCTGGATATTAACTGAGAACAAACAGAAACTAATAAACTCTGAAAAACATAAAAGATGAGCAACATGATGTCACTGCAAAAGACAAAACAGCACATAGCCTTCTTGTGACTGTATTTTGCTGACAGTCCACGAGCTAATACTCAGCCTGAACTCAGCAGTGCTGTTCCCTTGGGAGACACACTCTAATACTCAACCTGAACTCAGCAGTGCTGTTCCCTTGGGAGACACACACACAAACACACGGACACACACACACAACGTGTTGGTGGTTTTGTGCCTCCCTGCCAAAACACACATACATTGGTGGTTGTGCCGCCAGGAGCCTCCAGTCTGCCAGTGTGAGGAACGGACCAGATGGGTCCAGTAGTGTTGGGTCAAGGCGAGGAGAGGACAGCTGGAAGCGCGCCCATGCTCTGGACTCCTGCACCCGCCGAAATGGGTGCTCACGGGGCGCGCGGGAGTGAGGGGTGAGGGGTCAGGGGTGAGGGGTGAGAGGGAGGGGGACGGGGTGGAGGCAGCCCCTTCCCAGGCGGCAGCGGGGGCGGTGGTGCTGTTACCCTTTTAAGCTGCCGCTTCACAGGAGCCGCGCTTCCTGCCGGTGGAGTAGGTTACAAGGGGAGCAGCCGCCCAGGGGCCGCCCCACAGCTCCCGGCAGAGGACTCGGTGTCCCTTGCGGTTTTCCTGTCGTGCTCCAACTAGAGTCAAGGCAGCGGGAAGAGGCGGAGCCGCGAGAGCGCCGCCCAGCGGCCCCACCAAGTGGTCGCGGCCATAACAGCGGCTCCTCCCCGGCTCACCTCCCGCGCCCCTGCCGCCGGAGATGAGGGTAAGATGTCCGTGTCTGTGTGTCCGTGCCGTGTCAGCGCCCAGTGGTGGCCCCAAGGGGCAGGGCGAGGGTGGAGAGGAGGCTCCGGAAGTACCCGGACAAAGGGGAGCCTGCCCGGGAGAGGCCCCGGTTCCCCGGGCGGGGAGAACGCGCCCCTTTCTCCTGTGACTGGCCCGCCCCGATCGCCGGGACTGCGGGAGGCTTGGGTGGGAGGAGGCGGAGGGCGCGTCTCTCTATCTCCTTGCGGGGGGCTGGCTTGGGGGCTGCTGGCACCTCTCGCCCTCGTCCCCGAGCCCCGAGCTGGGAGCCCGCGTCGCCCGCAGCCCTTTCGGGGCCCATGATCGCCCTCAGTCAGCCGGCCTGCTCCCCGGAACCGCGACGGGGTGTGGCAGGGCGGCTCCAGCTGATGTTTGAGCCCAGGCGTGGAAGGGGAAAGGCCTTTAAGATTTTCGGTTTTTTGACAGGGCGCAGTGGCTCTTTCCTGTAATCCTAGCACTTTGGGAGGCTGAGGGGGGTGGATCACCTGAGGTCAGGAGTTCTAGACCAGCCTGGCCAACATGGTAAAACCTTGTCTCTACTAAAAATATAAAAGTTAGCTGGGCATGGTGGCAGGCGCTTGTTGAGATGGAGCCTCACTCTGTCGCCCAGGCTGGAGTGCAGTGGGCGATCTCGGCTTACTGCAGCCTCCTTCTCTTGACAATCCATAGGTTCAAGCAATTCTCCTGCCTCAGCCTCCCGAGTAGCTGGGATTACAGGCGCCTGCCACCATGCCTGGCTAACTTTTGTGTTGTTTACTTTCACCATGTTGGCCAGGCTGGTCTCGAACTCCTGACCTCAAATGACCCACCTCTGCCTCCCAAAGTTGTGTGATTACAGACCTGAGCCACCTCACGAGGACCCAAGGCCCTTAAGTGTAAAGGCCTCATTCTTCAGTCAGGTTTTCCTTGTTCCTGCATGTTCAGCCAATCGTTTTTAACTTTGTGTTTAAGGAGAAACTAACAATGAACACGGACTCCTTGAGGTAGAAAAAGTTAGAATGCAGCCTCTGGTGCTGTTTGAGAGATCCCTGTCTCTCCGGCGGGGCCGCTGCTGTGTTCTGGAAAGGCGCATTGTACCGTGGATGCGGCAGGTAAGAGTCCTGTACAGGCCCTCTGCCCGCTTTTCCTTTCAGGCTTCTGTATCAGCTATTCTTCCTCTATAGAATGTGCCCCTGACAGCCACCCCCTAACCCTACCCAATTTGGCTTTGCATGTCTGACCATCAAGGCTCTTCTGGGTCATATTTAGTTCATGCTGATATTTCCCCTTCCTCCCCTCTTTCGTCCTTACTATTTTTGCGTTGGTCATGTTATGCTGTGTTCTGTAAGGCTTTTAAAAAAAAGTTTATGGTGGCAGGGGAGAATGTTTTATAATTATGCTTTGTGCCTTTTATCTCCTACTCAATAAATACTTGGGAAATATTTGTTTTGTTGAATGTCTGACCCTATCCTAGCTTTGTTGTGCTGGAACAAAAATCTTAACTGCTTTGTAAGTTAACTGCTAAGAATTTGTCAAAAGTGCAGAGATAACATCAACAACTTGTCGTGGATAGTACAAAAAGTCTCTAAGGGCTTGCTGGAAGTCTGTAAATTGACTTCATATGAAAGAGAGTGTAAGAAGTGAAAATGTAAAGCATGACTGGAGAGTCGGAGTCATGAAGCCAGGGTCCCTTTCTCCAGATCCTTTGTAACAGTCTTATGTGATCTCTTCTAGAAGATCGTTCTGAAAGATAATGCCAACTCGGAACCTAGGAAACCCTCCAGTGGGTTTCTGCAGCTTAGGTGGTTCAAATCCTCATCAGCACCTTTCCTTTCTTGCCTCAGTTTTTGCTTCCAATGATGTTCTCAGTAGCTGTAATTGCTCTCGGTCTTTGAATCCTTAAGCATTTTTTTAGATGACAGGGATATATGTGCATTTTATTTTACCAAGTGTTAGAATTTTTGTTCTGCTTTTGTGGGCTCTGGGTTAGCTACGTGGTTGTTGTAAAATGATTAGCAGGGAAAACCGTGTGTGTGTCTGTGTGTGTGTGTGTGTTTTAAGTTTCTTTTGTTGTCAGAGGACTTATAATTTTATTTTATATGATAATTCTGTCAATTTACTTTATTCTCCACCCCATATTTATTGAACGACAAAGTATGAAAGTATTGTGTCCCATAACCAGCCTTCAGAAGAATCACAACTGCTGTGTATCTGAAATTTTTTTTTTTTTTTTTTTTTTTGTGGGGGCAGAGTGTCACTCTATCAGCCAGGCTGGAGTGCAGTGGTGCGATCTTAACTCACTGGAACCTCTGCCAGCCAGGCTCAAGTGATTTTCCTGCCTCAGCCTCCTGAGTAGCTGGGATTACAGGCATCTGCTACCGCAGCTGGCTAATTTTTGTAGTATTAGTAGAGATAGGTTTCACCATGTTGGCCAAGCTTGTCTTGAACTCCTGACTTCGTGATCTGCCTGCCTCAGCCTCCCAAAGTGCTGGGATTACAGACGTGAGCTACTGCACCCGCCTGAACTTTCAAGAAGAAGTTTCTGTATCAGCTTTCAAAAAATTATGATATCAAAAGATAGCCATGCCCTACATTTAGAAAGATACAGAAACTGAACATACTGGCAGGCAGTTTTGCTTGTTGGTGCTTGAGATAGAGCTACACGTTGGTCTCAGTGGATTTATGGAGAAAAATAGATACAGAAAGTTGTTTCTAAATAAGACCAAAAAATCCTTTCTTAAGCAGTGACAGGTAAAGAGGTTGCCTTGCTAATCTTGAATTGTGTTGCCCTTGATTGAGACGGATGTATGGTGGGGATGGTAGTGGTGATAAACCTGTTTGAAATTTGTCTGCTTCTAGTAAGCTTTGTGGTAACTGTCACAGACAACTTCATCCTCACAGGCCTTAAAATTACTATAAAACTAATAGAATGGAGGAGAAAGAAAGGACCTAAATACTTAGATGCTTAAATAATTGTTCTGTGTTTTCATAACCGGTGAAAAAGAACAGTGTTAGAATCACTTAAACACTCCATGTAAGGAACACTGCCTGAATTTATATTGCTATTTTTGACCATCATTTACTGTTTAAAAACAGGCATATTGTAGGTCATATTTTAAAGACAAATAGAACACTTATCTTTTCAAGATGGTTATAAAGCTTAACCTTATCAAAATTACAAAATGTAAAGCATATTCTTGAAAAATATTAATGCATAGGTTTAAATATAGGTCATCATTTTAGATGTCTTTCAAAAAAGATCATCTCTTAAATATTAAACTGAACAAACATTGAACATATTGTAGAGTTTGTGCTCAGGGTGAAGTTTCCTGGGGTGATGGATGTTTTATAATATGGATAACAAAAACCTATTTTAAGAAGTTTAGAAAATTTTTAGGCAAAACTAGAAAATCATACTGATAATTCTACTACTCAGAAGGTACCACCATGAGAATTTTGTATCTTTCCAGTCCTCTGCTCATCTCTTTTCTCCTGTGCTCGTATGTGTTCCCTCTCCCTTAAAACAATCAGATTTTGTTTTTGTAATCTGCGTTCTCACTCAACAATATGGTAGATCCGTGTCATAAGTTACTCCTCTACACAGTGCCTTCAGTTATTCTGTGGTTGTGTTGGATGACTATACCATCTAGTCATTCGTGTTTCCTGGTACTGAATACATAGGGGTGAGTGGGTGAGTGAGTGAGTGACTGTGTGTGTGTGTGGGTGTGGGTGTGTTTTCTACCTTAACTAATGCTTTGGACATCAATAGGTAGAGCTAAATCCTTGAAACCTTCCAAGAGGTGGCTTTCAGTTCTCATTGCTGATTTGTTTTCTAGAGATGGAACAAATTATATTGTATGGAAAAAAATTTTTTTGAGATGAAGTCTCCCTCTTGTCACCCAGGCTGGAGTGCAAAGGCATGATCTTGACTCACTACAACGTGCACCTCCCAAGTTCAAGTGATTCTCCTGCCTCAGACTCCTGAGTAACTGGGATTACAGGTGCCTGCCATCATGCCCAGATAATTGTTGTAATTTTAGTAGAGATGGGGTTTCACCATGTTGGCCAGACTGGTCTGGAACTCCTGACCTCAGGTGATCCACTCACCTTGGCCTCCCAAAGTGCTGGGATTCATGAATGAACCACCCCACCCAGCCTTTTTTTCTTCTAGGTACCAGCTGTTATATATCAGATTGGTAAAAATGTTAGAAAGTGTGCAATGAAATGGGCATTCTCACAGTCATGGCAGAAAGTATAGTTATCTTTGACTTTCTAGAAAGCAGACTGGCATTCTAGAAACTTGCCTAACCTCTTCCCATTTAGGCAAGATGAATTCTGACCACCCCTCAGTGGCCAATCTTGTCCCTGTGATTCCATATCTCCCAGAAAGAGAGGTCTAGTCTCAGAGAAAACCCAGATTTGCTTGGCTTAGCCCACCTGACAGCTAATCACTGGAAATGGGGTGGGCTGGTCGAGTCCTTTGGTCAGGTTTTGTGTTAAGAGAGGGATGTGGAGAGATGGGAGAGAGGTAGCAAAACTGGCCTCAATGGAACTAAGTAAGTTAACATAGAATGGCAAAGGAATGTTTCTTCCAAGGAAGAAATTCTAGGGAAGGAAGAAAGTGGAGGGGAAGGCAGCAGTTCTCCAAGTTTTGGGGTCAGGATTCCTTCACACTTGTAAAAATGTATTGATGGCCCAAGGAGCTTTTGTGTATGTAGGTTATATCTATTGGTATTTATCATTAGAAATTAAATCGGAAATATTTAAAATATTCTTTAACAGCTCACCAAATATTGTTATAAATGCTTTTATGAAAAGAAAATTTCTAAACCCAAAGTAGTACAATCTAACATCTTTTGCAAATTTCTTTGATGTTTGTCATTTGCATCTGCATTCCATTTATTGTGTGATATTTGCTTGAAAAAATGTGGAGAAAGGCCAATCTCATACAGATAGCCATTTTAGATCATTGTGGATATTTCTTTTTTTTTTCTTTTTTATGAGATGGGGTCTTGCTCTGTTGCCCAGGCTGGAATGCAGTGGTACGATCACAGCTTACTGGAGCCTCAGTTTCTGGGGACTCAGGTGAACCTCCCACTTCAGCCTCCAGAGTAGTTGAGACTACAGCTGTGTACTACCACACCTAGCTAATTTTTTGTATGTTTTGTAGAGACAGGGTTTTGGCATGTTGCCTTGGCTTCTTTTTTGATACTCCATCAAAACTTGATTTTTCTTGAACTTTGGATCTTTTACCCTTGCATGATATGATAACATCATGCATTGGTCACTTTGAAAATAATGGTTCACTGAGATCTTCTATATGTTGATACATTTGATTATACAGTATCAAAATGCATTCTTCAATATCGCCATCAATCTTATCAGAGTATTTTGGAAAGCAAATGTGGATATAAGTTTTCTAAAATTCTAATTTTTTGTTCAAAAGCTTGTCTTTTACTATCAGCAATTTTATTGTTGAATTTTATTATGGCCTCTTTGTTGTTTTCCTTGAAATAAGAGAATCTCCATTTTTGAGAAAATGTCTCCCAAAACCCAAGCTGAAATAACATTTTTTGTGAGTCATCCTTTGAAGTAAAAATGATATTCCATTAAAGTGGTTAATTCACTTTATGACTTAGTCACCGAGGGTTTTTTCTCAGGCCGTCTGTAGGAATGCTCATGTATACTTCCCATTTCATCACATGAAATATTAAAAAGATATATTCAAGGATTAAGATGTAAGATTTTCACTGTTTCATCATAGACATTCTTTTTATTTTTGAGACAGAGCCTTGTGCTGTCACCAAGGCTGGAGTGCAGGAGCACGATCACAGCTCACTGTAGCCTCAACCTTCTGGGCTCAATCAATCCTCCTGCCTCAACCTGCCAAGTAGCTGGGACTACAAGCATGCAACCAGCATGTCCGGCTAATTTTTGTATTTTTAGCAGAGATGGGGTTTCACTATGTTGGCCAGGCAAGTCTGAAATCTTGACCTCAGGTCATCTGCCCGCCTTGGCCTCTCAAAGTGCTGGTGTTACAAGCATGAGACACCATGTCTGGAGCACCCTTCCTTTTTAAACCTTTAAAACTTTCCTGTGCATAGTAGTCATACCATGACTGCTAGTAGTTTGGTGTTACTGCCTTTATTTGTGCCAAAGTACCAGTATTTTTACCCACCATTGCATCTGCACCATTACAAAAAATATCACCATGTTAGTATTCCTGTCAAAATAGTTTGGACCTGGGGATCTGAGGGCTGCACTTTGAGAACCATTGAAATAGGTACTTAAACCTACTATATATCATATCTTTTCATCTACAAGGTTTTTAAAAACTTGATTTCAGTTAATGTTTCTGTAATTTTTAAAATATGGTTTTGAGGGGTTTCAGTCCAGAGAAACAACATGTATTTTATTTTGCTTATACTGAAGTTTACTAGATGAATACTAACCTAATAGAATGAGGTCCTAAATCTAGTTACAGTTTCTTTAGCCAAAAGAGAAAAAAAGAAAAAAAAAACTCAAAACACAAAACTAAAAATTTAAAACTGGTCCATATGATGTATTCTCAATGTATGCTGAACAATTTGAAGAAGAAAATGCAATACTCGTAAGTGGTATTCTTTAAGAACAGGATTGGGCCAGGCACGGTGGCTCACATTTGTAATCCCAGCACTTTGGGAGGCCGAGGCAGGTGGATCACAAGATCGGGAGATCGAGACCACCCTGGCTAACACGGTGAAACCCCATCTCTCAAAAAATTAGCTGGGCGTGGTGGCGGGTACCTACTACTCCGGAGGCTGATTCTACTCCGGAGGCTGGTGCAGGAGAATGGCATGAACCTGAGAGGCACAGCTTGCCGTGAGCCGAGATCGCGCCACTGCATCCAGCCTGGGTGACAGAGTGAGACTCCGTCTCAAAAAAAAAAAAGAATAGGATTCATTCTGAAGAGTTTCCTTTAGCCTGTAAAGAGATTTGGGACACTGTAAGAGAAGAATGAGAATAGTGAAATAAATCATTATTGAAGAGATATACTGTTAATGATGTCCTCTTTCAATACAACTTGTTTTTCTTTTCTTTTCTTTTTTTTTTTTTTTTTTGAGATGGAGTCTTGCTCTGTCACCAGGCTGGATGGCAGGGGCACATCTCAGCTCACTGAAACCTCTGCCTCCCGGGTTCAAGCGATTCCCCTGCCTCAGCCTCCTGAGCAGCTGGGACTACAGGCATGTGCAACCATGCCTGGCTAATTGTTTTTATTTTAGTAGAGACGGGGTTTCACCATGTTGTCCAGGATGTCTCGATCTCCTGACCTTGTAATCCACCCATCTGGGCCTCCCAAAGTGCCGGGATTACAGGTGTGAGCCACCGTGCCCAGTCAACTTGTTTTTCTGGTTTTCCATAGTTTCAATGGTTTTCTATGACTTGAACCTAGTTCTTCTGAAGCTAATAGATAATAATAATGGCTTTCCCCCAATTTATACTAAAAAACAGTACAAAACAGCAGAGTAAATGTCTATTAGTGGGTGAAAGTGCATAATGCTTAGTTCATTAGCTTTTTAAAAAAATCACATGTAATTGTGTCCCAAAAATACATATATACTAATGGTATTCATTGGTATTACTTGGTTTGTGTGATAGAATAAAATGTTAGAATTTTATGTTGTTTGAATAGTTATCTATTGCTCTTTAACTAATTTAGCAGCTCAAAACAACACACATTATCTCAGTTTGTGTGGCTCAGGAGTCTGTCCTGTTTACCTTGGGTTCACTGGCTTGGCCTCTCACCAGACAGTGAAGGTGTTGGTGGCAGCTGTGATCCATCCCAAGGCAGGATAGGGAGATAATCCGCCTCCGAGCTCACATTGGCAGGATTCATCTCAGAGGCGGTTGGACTGGGCCTCCTTTTCTAGATGGCTACTGGTCAGAGGCCTTTTACAATACCTTGCCATGTGGGCATCTCCATAGGGCACCTCATCACATGGCAACTGGCTTCCATCAGAGGGAGCAATGGAGAGAGCAGGAGAAGGGTGACCAAGGCAGGCATCATAGTCTCCTTGTAGCCTCACCTCAGAAGTGATGTTATTACTTTTGCTGTATACTCCTTGGTAGAAGTGAGTCACTAGGTCCAGGGGTGGGAATTTTACAAAGGTGTGAATGGCAGGAGGTGAGGGTGATCAGGCCCATTTAGAGGCTGCCTACCAGTGTTGAAGAAAATTATTGACTTCTATGAGCTGTAGCAGCAGACAGTGCTATGCAAGGAGAATGGCTGTCTTAGAAGTCTAGCGCCTCATATGGGTTTTAATGTGTTGCCTTTTCCCCCTGATACATTTTGTTTAAATCCATGGTCATCTTGCCATTTAGTGGTGTGGCTTAATTGCATATTTGGGTTAGTCTGTATGTAAACGTTTAACACAGGTGTCTCTGTGCTAAACAGGAATCCTATTCATCTTCTTCACCCATATGGTTTGTGGACTCTGATGAGCCAAATCTGAGATCAGTTCTGGAATGTCTAGAAGATACTAAGAACAACAATTTGGTAAGGAAAGAAGGCAAGCTATTTTCTCTTTTCCTCATAAATATTATATTTAGAAATTACATGTTAAGAGATAATATGATTTTTAAAAAACATGAGTAATGACTATAATATTAGAGGAATTAAAGTCTGGGTTTTTTAAGTTCTCCAAATCTTACTTACTACCTGGATTCTCTTTATTATTTCCCAGTTGTATAACCATAGTTTAGATTAGGAATTCAGGATCTCTTTTTCCCTGAATTCTAACCATTAAGCCAAGCAAGCATTTTGGGTAGCGACCACTAGCCAAGGTGGAAAGTAGAAAAAAGACCAAGGTGGAAGTGAAGGCAGAGATGGGGAGAATGACACCAGAACTAGTGGGAGGGAATTGCCTTTTCTTTCAAGGGTCTGTAAGTCTGCAGTAAAAGTCAAAGGTATTCAAATTGGAAGTTTTGTTTTTGTTTTTAGTATATAAAGAAATACAACTTTTCATGTTGGAAAAATTTTAAAAACTTTTTTTATTATAAAACTCATAAGCAACCATTGTTGAGAAAATTCATAAAGTTCAGAAAAGAGAAAAGAAAGAAATTAAAGTCTCCCATAATTTCTCTACCTAATATAACCACTATTGACAGTTGACGTGGTGGCCAGTTTCTACCCGTATATGTTTTTTCTTTGATGGTAAAATACATAACCCTTATACATATATTTAAATAGTTGAAGTCGTATTCTGTATAGTTTTATGTTCTTTTTTTTTTTTTTTTGAGATGGAGTCTCGATCTTTCACCCAGGCTGGAGTGCAGTGGTGTGATCTCAGGTCACTGCAAGCTCCCCCTCCTGGGTTCACACCATTCTCCTGCCTCGGTCTCCCCAGTATCTGGGACTACAGGCACCTACCACCATGCTTGGCTAATTTTTTGTATTTTTTAATAGAGACAGGGTTTCACCGTGTTAGCCAGGATGGTCTCAGTCTCCTGACCTCATGGTCTGCCCGCCTCGGCCTCCCAAAGTGCTGGGATTGCAGGCATAAACCACTGCCCCTGACTCTTTTATATTCTTTTAAAAAGTATTTACTGTATTTCCCGATGATGTCATAGTCTTTATATAAAAATAACAATCATTATTTTCAGTTGACATGATTGTTTACCTAAAAATATCCAAATGAACCAACTGTAAAAAACAGTTTTTAAGATTACTGGTTAAAAGCTCTTTTATATAAAAATCAATAGCCTTCCCAAATGTTAGCTGTAATCACATAGAAGATATAGTGATGAAGTATTTTTTCAGGTATTTCAGCAAAAATTAAATATCTAGGAATAAACTTAGATGTGCAGGACTTTTATCAAGGACATGACAAAATTTTGCTGAGTGGAATGAAAGATTTTCATTCTATGTTCTTGGATGAGCAGATTTCATGTTATAAATATGTTAGTTATCACCATGTCTTTGTATTAATTTATAAATGTAATTTCTGCTGGGCACAGTGGCTCATACGTGTAATCCCAAAAGTTTGGGAATCTGAGGCGGTTAGATGACAATTAGCTGGGTGTCTGTGGCACACACTTGTAGTTCCAACTACTCCTGAGGCTGAGGGCTGAGGTGGGAGGGTCACTTGAGCCTGGGAGTCAGAGGTTGCAGTGAGCCAAGATCATGCCTCTGAACTCTAGCCTAGATGACAAAGTGAGACTCTGTCTCAAAAAATAAAAATAAAAAAGTAGTGAGTGTACATATATATATATATATATAAATATATGTTTACAAATTTCAGTACAAATTCCAGCAAATTTATTTTTGGCACTTGACAAAGTGACTCTAAAGTTTGTTTAGAAGAGTAAATTTTTAAAAAGTAGTAAAGTATAGACTCTCAAGCAGATATTAAATAAAATACTGTGGACCAGCCCTGGGCCAGACAGATAAAGGCAATGGAAGTTTAGAACCAGAGTCATGCAAAGGAGAATTTAGTGTAAGGAAAAGGTGGTATTTTAACTTAATAGTGAAAAGATAGATTATTCTGTAAATGGTTTTAGGAGAACTGACAATTTGAGGAAGTTTGAGTCTTAACTCCAATTTTTGTCAAAATAAGTTAGAGTTGGTTTAAACACATCTATTCTTAAAAATTAGAACAGAAGAACATCAGTCTGAAGATATTTTAAGAGTTAAGGATGAGGCTGGGCACAGTGGTTCACGCCTTTAATCCCAGCATTTTGTGAGGCCAAGGTGGGAGGATTGCTTGAGCCCAGGGGTTTGAGATCAGCCTGAGCAACATAGCAAGACCCTCTCTCTCTCTAGATATAGATATACATATAAATATACATATACACATACAAAAAAAAAAGAGTTAAGTTTTGTCTGCAGAGCCATGAAGATAAGAGGTAAAAATTAAAGGCTTGATGGACACATGTTTACTTCTCCAGCAAGGGGATTGATGGGAAAGAGTGATAGACATAGCTCCATTACTGCCACCTCCTTTTAGGAAGTTGCTTCTGAACATCTAAAGATACCAGTTTTATAATAGCAGAAATGAGTTATTTTTCAGTGTCTAAAACATTACATGACATACATACATAAACATGTTCATAAAGTTAAGTAGCATATAAAATTGGGCCTAGTGTTTTAAAAAGTAAATATATTTACATGAAAGAGAAAACAACTCACCTCCCACTCTTAGAGCCTCTGCCAGTTTACCATAGCCTAGTTTCTGGAGAGAATAAGCTACATGTCTTCACCTTCTTTCAATGAGCTCATTATAATCTGGATTCTGCCTTCATCATGGCGCTAAAATTTATCTCCCTGTTGCCAAAACCGGTGGCTCCTTCTTAGTCCCCAAATTGACCCCTCTGCAGTATTTTGATACTGTCGATTGTTCCCTTGTTGAAACATTCCTCCATTCTTAATGTCCACCAATAAAGAGTTGGTTAAATAAAAATTATAGTGTACATTTTATAACAGTTGTGGACCAAAAAAATGCAGCCAGTCTTTCCATAGAGCATGTGCAAACTTCTAAGATATATTCAGTAAAAAAAGTAAGGCATAAAATATTGTGTATAATCTGACCCCTTTAGTATACACTGTAAAAAATCTCTATGTCTGTGCTTGTTTCTACTTACTTTTTTCCTCCCCTGGTGGATATAGGAAACTCTGAATAGTAGAACACAATTAAAAAAAAAAAAAATGTGTGTCTTCTCTGCCAGGACCTGTGATAATTTGGTATAAAAGACAAAAAAGGCATGTCCCTGTCCTCTTTTTCTTTATTTTTGGTAGCCTCATTAATGCATTAATGCTCTCTTGTTTGAAGTTGTAAGTTTGTAAGGAAACAAGGTAGCAATGAGAAATTGGACAATGTCTGAAACTTCCTTCCTCTGTCTTTATTGTTGTCATTCTGCTAGGTATCAGTTGTAGTGATTATACCCCAAGCAATAGTAACTTTCTTAAACTAGACGCTCCTGAAAATATTTTACAGAGTTTTTATTAATCTGTAAGCTGCAGTAGAGCAGTGACAAACTTTTTTATTTCCTTCTGGATTGATTACCGTAGACATAACATTATTAATGTCTTCTAAGGGCTCTTTAACATAATGCTTATTTACTGAAATGTGTTTTGTAGTTTCATCAGCAATTGAAGTGGGTGATATGTGGACTCTGCAGATTATATAACCTTCCTAAGCACATGGATGTTGAGATGCCAGATCAACCACTACCCATGGGTCAGGTAAAGTAAAAATTCTCTAGTTTCAAGAGATAAAATAAATTGTCTCAAACAAAAGTCAAACTAGGATGATTTTTTTTTTATTACTCAACTTACTTAGAAGTTAGTTTTTCTGTAGCTATTGAATTGTTCTGTTTGTTCTGTTTTAGATACTAAAAATAACCTTTTCATTCTTTGGAGCTGCTGGTATTTAGTATGACAGGCAACAATTCCCCTTTTCCCTAACACCAGCTTTTTGTTGTGAATATTCTTGGTGTCCATAAATGTTCTTGCTTCTTTCATTGTTTGTCTTTTCTCAATGAATTACCTTCACCTAGAAATGCCATCTCCTTAAGTCTGTCTATGCTTCTTAAGGACTTGCCCAAATGTTGTTTCCTGCAAGCGACAGAAATCTCCACTAGGTCACCACTACCCCTAACTTCTTCCTGGATGTACCTATTTAGGCATTAGTTATTGACATTTTAGTATAATACATGAGAATTTAGCTCTTATACTACCCACTTTCCCTTCCTCGAATATTATCCTTAGTCATATAAGTAATCACTAATTATCATTAGGACTTCATAAAGCCAAGTTTTCTAGGATATTTAGGATAGGATATTTCTTTTCATGATCCTGCCTTTTGTTTTGCAGTGTCTTCCTCATAACAGTAACTTTTAATTTAAAAAACTCTGTCGTAGCCCTTTCTCTGAGATCTTTTTCTCTTCCAAAGCCTTTGGCTCCTCTGTTCCCATTTTGGCAGGTCGTTCTTTGGGTTGGCTGTGCAGATGTCATCTTGAGGTTTTTCTCATCTGCTCTCCTAGAGATCCATTGTTTCCTGGATCCCATGTCATCTTTCTTGGCTTTCCCTTTGTCATTTTACCTGACTCTGTCCTCCAGTAAAACCCAAAGGAAGCATAGAGTGGCATATTTTCTGATCTCTAGCTTCTGAAAAAAAGTGCAATGCAGTGTTTGGATTTTGGAGTCAGTCGAGATAGGTTTGAATCTTGGTTCTACTACTTACTAGCTGTATGCCCTTGGGCTGATTCCCTAAGTGCTCTATGCATCAGTTTTCCATTTGCAAAATGGGGGAGCCAGCAATAGTATTAGTACCTATGTTTCTAGGGCGCTATGAGGATTAAATGAGTTGGTACGTGTAAACCATTTAGAAGAGTGCCTGGTGCATAGCACATCCCCATCACAATTCACTTTTGTCATAATCTACCCTCACACTTGATTGATAGTTTGGTTGATTATGTATTTCTAAGTTGAGGATAATTTTACCTTAGAATTTCAAAGTCTGTGCTGTTGTCTTCTAACCAGTCGTAGTGGTGAAGCTTCATATCTTCCTGAGTTTCACCATTTAGGCATGACTTTCTCTCTGGAAGCTTTTAGGATTTTGTCTTTTCCTTGGTGAGCTGAAATAGCACAACATTGTACTTAGTGTAGGTCTTTTCTCATTCACTGTGCTGGGTACACCGAATGGATAGGCCTATGGATAGGCTCTTTCAAAGTTGGAATCTTGAATCTTGTCATATTTTTGTTAACTTTCACCTTTCCATTTTATTTGTTCATTTTGAGGTGTCTGTTAATTGGGTTTTAGTCCTCTTGTCTTGCCTCTTGTATCTCATGTTATTTCTAATTTTTGTTTAGTTTTAAGTTCTGGAATATTTTTCTTATCTTTTGATTGTAGGAAATGTTATTTGGACAGTCAAAACTTTAAGTTTTGTTTTGGTTATTTATTGTTGCTTAACCAATTTTCCCAAAACTTAATGGCATAAAACTACACATTTATCTCTGTCACTACTGTATGGGTTAACTGGGGATAGCTGGACAGTTTTTCTGCTGGTTTCATTTGGCATCTCTCACTGTGTGGTTAGACGGTGTCAGGGACAGGTCATCTGGATGCTCAGTTGCAGTGGAGTGTCTGAGACAGCTTCTTCACCCACAGGTCTGCCGCCTTGGTGTTTCTTCTTCTTCATGTGGCCTTCCTCTCTGCCTAGCATCTCATGCTCTGAGGCCTCTTCATGTGGCTTCTCTTTCTCCAAGAAGAGAGTCAGTACTTATTTTGGCTTCCAGAAGCACACAAGTGGAGCTGCCAGGTGTTCTTAAGGCTTAGACCTGGAACAGGTCCAGTGTCATTTCTACCAAATTCTCTAGGTTAAAGTGAGTCTTGGGGCCAACCCAGATTCACTGTGGGATGGGCCTGTCCAAGGACATGACGACAGGAGGTGTGGCTCATTGGGGACCAACTCCCAAGATGAACCCTGAGTTCTAAGAACTTTTTCTTTTCTGATTATTCCTTATTCATATTCTATTTTTGTTTTATTCATGTAATATATTCACAAGTGTCTTTATGAAGTGATTTTGATACTCTTTTGTCTTCTCCCTAGCATCTGTTTGTTCTTTAATAAACTTTTTCTTAGTTTATTTTTGTCTTATTTTTCTTTTTAAAGCCTTTCCTTAAATTTTATCTATTCTATGTTGCTTATCATTTGTAGTCTTCTTTTTTTTTTTTTTTTTTTTTTTTTTGAGACAGAGTTTCGCTCTTGTTGCCCAGGATGGAGTACAAAGGCGTGATCTTGGCACACCGCAACCTTTGCCTCCTGGGTTCAAGTGATTCTCCTGCCTCAGCCTCCTTAGTAGCTGTAATTACAGGCATGTGCCACCATGCCTGGCTAATTTGTGTATTTTTATTAGAAACAGTGTTGCTCCATGTTGGTCAGGCTGGTTTCCAATTCCCAACCTCAGGTGATCTGCCCACCTAGGCCTCCCAAAGTGCTGGAATTAAAGGCGTGAGCCACAGTGCCCGGTCTGTATTCTTTTTTTTTTTTTTTTTTATTAATTCCTTTTTTTCTTCATTCATATTTCAGAGAGGTACTAAAAGACTGGGAGGCTGGGTGTGTCAGCTCACACCTACAATCTCAGTGCTTTGGGAGACTGACTTTGGAGGATCACTTGAGCCCAGGAGCTCAAGACTAGTTTGGGCAACAGAGTGAGACCCGATCTTTACAAAAAATTAATGAAAATAATAGCCAGGTGTGGTGACACCCACCTGTAGCCCCAGCTACTTGGGAGGCTGAGGCAGAAGGACCTGTTGAGGCTGAAGTGAGCTGTGATCATCCTGCTGCATTCCTGCAATTCCAGCCTGGGTGAAAGAGCAAGACCCTGTCTCATAAATAAATAACCATATAAATTAATTAATTAAACAAATAAATACAAATAAAAAATAAAAGTAAAAAACTGATTGGGAGTTCTTCATGGCCAAGACTTGGCAACTGATAGCTTTTAGGGGGAATGTATGCTGACTCCTGATTGTTATCCTCTACCCCTCTTTCTTATCTCCCGGTGCAATCATAAATGATGGCTGGAACTACTCCATTCCTCTGGAGATGAAATCTGCATTCTCTTGTCTGAGGTAGATAAGTTTGCTTGGGTTCTGCTTAAGGAGATGGGGGAGAGCAGTGCATTTCAGTGCCTGGAAAATGTGTGCTCTATATAGGCTTTTGGTTAATCTCTGTTTTCAGTCTTGCCTGTCAGTCCCACCCTCGGGGATACCTGGTGTCTGAGTCTAGAACCTTTCCAGGTTGCTGTGAGACAAATTAGCTTCTTTGTTTTCGGTATCCCCCTGACCTCCACTTTTGTTTGCTTTGCTCCATTAATTAACCATTTTCCATTTACTGTCATTGTCTAATGGAGGTGAATCTTCTGTTGGTAATCCCATTTCTTTTTTTGTAATTGTGTGTTTATATAATGTTTCTTCTTCACTGTATTTCTAGTGGAGCCTCAAGACAAAGAGCAGATGGTGGAAATATGTGTTCAGTTTTTTTCTGTAAGACATTTGCAAATTGTGTTTTTCACTGAATATCACACGGACTTAATGCATATAGAGCTACCTTGTTTTTCATGATTGTGCCTACACAATTATATTTCTATGGAGAAATATAATTTGTGAATTACCTGATGAAATTTTCTTAATTTTGAATCATCCTTGCATTCCTATAATAAACACTGTAAGAATGGCTATGGTAATATTTCATTTTTGCATTTTTACTTCTGTATTAAATAAGATTATGTTTTGTTTGTTTCCTTTAAGGCTCTTATTTCCTTTCAGTATCCAGGGTATGCAGGGATAGCTTGGGAAACATTACATCTTTTTTCTAAGACTTAGGATGTAGATCTAGTCTACACAGTAATTTTCAACTACAGGAATATTATGCTTCCCATGGGATGTTTGGAAATATCTGGAGACATTTTTGTGGTCACAACTGGTCATGCTTGGGAGGTCTTATTGGCATTCTGTGGGTAGAGGGGATATTACTAAATGTCCTACAACACAGCAGGAGAACCCTCCACAAAGAATTGTCTGCCCCAATATATCAATATTGCTGAGGCTGACAAACGCTGGTTTAAATGAATGTCCAATTTGGAAGATGAGTCTTTGTCTTTTTCCTTCTTCTGCGTATTGGTCTCCAGATTTTCCATTTCTTCAGTTAGTTTTCGTTACTGTAGATTCTTAAAATAAATGGGCACTTCATCCATACTTCTAAGGTGTTTTAAAGATGTTAAAGTTTTCACATTTTGCATCATATTCACATGTGGCTACATGCCCTTTTCTCTTCAAAGTTTTCTTTATCTTGCTCACTTATCAGAGGCATGACTGTTTTATTATCTTAGTCTTTTGAAAGAATCCTCCTTTAGTGTTATTTTAAATTTGGTGGGGTGTTTTTCACATTTTCCTTAAGTCTTCATTATTTCCCCTTTTTGTTTATTTTGCTTTTTCTAGTGTAGTGGATCAATGTAATTTAAATTGCTTTTTAAACAAACATATAAGGGTATACACTTCCTTTGGGTGCTGTTTGACTTTATTACGCAAGTTTTAAAATCTATTTTCTAAATAGCTTGTATTTTCTAAGTCATTTTATTGCAACCTCTGTTCACATTGCTCTTACTATTAAAACTTTCTGTTGGCCAGGCATGGTGGCTCACGCCTGTAATCCCAGTGTTTTGGGAGGCCAAGGCAAGTGGATCACCTGAGGTCGGGAGTTTGAGACCAGCCTGACCAACATGGAGATAGCCCATCTCTACGAAAAATACAAGAACTAGCCAGGTGCGATGGTGCATGCCTATAATCCCAGCTACTCGGGAGGCTGAGGCAGGAGAATTGCTTGAACCCAGAAGACAGAGGTTGCAGTGAGCTGAGACCGTGCCACTGCACTCGAGCCTGGACAACAAGAGCGAAACTCCGAAAAAAAAAAAAAACTTTTTATTGTGAGATCTGACATGTATGGAAATTATATAAAACATAAGCTTAGTGTAACATATAGTTAGAGTCAGTACTTGGTTCTATGAAACATAAGCTTAGTGTAACATATAGTTAGAGTCAGTACTTGGGAACCAACACCTAGCCAGCACCGAGGTGAGGAGAAGGCACATTGCTTGCACTACAGAAACCTTCTGCAGGCTGCTTCCCAATCACCATGCCTCTGTACACTTCATCTTGCCTTATGTTTCTCTAGTGTTATCACTCATGTATGCTTCCTTGAACAATACAGTGTAGTGTTGCCTATTGTTTGAACTTTTGAAAATCATGCCATATGTATTTTTTCATCTCTTCATTGTGCTCAACATTGTGTATGAAATGTGTTCCTATTGTGTGTAGCTATAGTTCTTTTGCATTGCTGTATTTACTCCATTGTTTGAAAACACCATACCATTTATTCCCTTGACTAGATACAGATATGTGGGTTGTTTCCCCATGTTATTAGGAAGGGCAAATGCTGCTATGATCATTTTTATCTATATTTAACGGTACCCCTGTGCCAGCATTTCTCTGGGGCACATACTTAGGAGTTGGATGACTGAGGCATGAGGATCAATTTCTTCTTTTACCCAAGACTTATCCAGGAAAAAAAATTTAAAAAGCATTTTGAGATGGCTTTTGAGGTATTTTAAGTGCATCAGTATGGTCAGAGAATATGGCCTGTGACCTTTCAGCTAGATTATCAGCAATCATTTAGACTTCACTGTTGGCGTTACTGTTGTCTTTGCTTAGTGCTACTTCTTGTATTATGTCTCCTCCCTGAATAATATCCTGGGTTTTGTTTTTCCTAGAAAGGGTTTGTGGGGATGTGTATGGAGTGTGTTCCATGAACTTGCTGTGTGTTATCACTTGTTCAACAAATATTTGACTCTGTATGAAGTACTCCATCCATATCAGTGTGGAGAATCCTGAGGCAAACATACCCAGATATGATTCCTGTCTTGATGGAGCTAGATATAGAATTCTGAGGTCATAATTGAGTTTCTTTCCAGGTCTTTACACTTTTATGTTATGGTATTTATTGTTATAGATGGAAAGTCTCATGCCTATCTGATTCGTAGTTCTTTCTGATAGTTAGTGTGATTTTCTGTGTAACTGTAAAGTGTGGGGGTTTTATTTTATTTTATTTTATTTTTTTTTTTTTTGAGAGGAATTCTTGCTCTGTCACCCAGGCTGGAGTGCATTGGTACGATCTTGGCTCACTGCAGCCTCCACCTCTCAGGTTCAAATGATCCTCCTGCCTCCATGCCTGACTAAATTTTTGTATTTTCAGTAGAGACAGGGTTTCACTGTGTTAGCCTGGATGGTCTCGATCTCCTGACCTTGTGATCGGCCTGCCTCAGCCTCTCAAAGTGCCAGGATTACAGACATGAGCCACCTGAAATGCTTTGCTGAATCAAGTCCATTGTGCTCTGGCCCTTCTACAAGTGGTTTTTTTGTTGGTTTTTTTGATTGGATGGTTTTTGGTTTTTGGTTTGTTTGTTTGTTTTGGTTTAGGGGTCCTATTTTTACCTTCTAGAATTGTCTTTTGCATTGTAGTCTGTTTTGTATTTTGTGGATACAGTATCTTCTCAATTACTGCTAAAGATTCCAATTAGGTTTTACAATTCTGTTTATTTCCTTCATTAGCAGTGCTTCAGGTCATTTGTGCTTCTTTGACTTGGTACCTTCCTTTCAGGTTGCTAATTTTCTTCAACTCTCTGATGATACATGGTTATCTGTTCATTTATACATGACGTATACCTTTGAGCAGTATCAGTTGTTATGAATGTCTTCCGAATTGTCACTCTTTTCTGCTGTGGCCTCCCCCTCCTGGTTTGCAGACCTGTGCTCTTCCTGTGGCATGAGGATGGGGAGGTGCTGGCCGGTGAGCTTTCCAGATTTTGAACTGAAAGGAAGAGCAGAATCTGTTATAAGATTTTGCTGCTGCATTGAGTTATATTAAAAAACATTCTGTCTTTTCTCTCTGGTTTTGACACTGATAGTAAGAGACCTTCAAGATAGGCTTCCTATTAGCGGAGTGATCCTTACCAACTATAGCTGGGACAAGTACGGTGAAGAATGTTTGATTCTTCCAACAGAAGTGGTCCCTCCATTATTTGGATTGGGTTTGTGGCTTTCTTGAGGCCAGCAGTCTGATTCCATCTGCTTTGTGTCTTCCAGCATGTCTTTATAGTTTTGGTTCACTAAGGGTATTCTTTTTGTATTGTTGTTTTGCTGCTGCTGCAGCACACTTACTCTCTTTTATAAAATTCTGTCATTTCAGTGGGGTTTTAGAAAGAGGACCAGGTCACATCTTGAAATGAAATTAATCTTAGGATTTCACAGCCCTAACTCACTTTTTGTTTTGATTAAATTACTTCCCCTTTTTGAGGGGGAAGGGGCTCAGCTTTCTCATGTGTAGAATGAAGGATAGTAAATGGGGTAGTGGTGACAGACCCAGATGCATGTGAGAATCACCTCAGAGAGCTTTTCAAAACAGATTCTTTGGGTAGGCTTTGAAATTAGCATTTGAAAAATGCTCTTTCAACCATTGATGCAACCAGATTCTTTGGGACTTTGAGGCTAGATATATATTCTTTAGATACCCAGAATAATTGAATTTGGAATAAAATAATTTAGGGAAATGAAGAAGGGGTGAATTCCATTTTGGAAGCTACTGCTTAGATACTGCTGAGACCTTTGTTGGTCTTGATTTCTGGATCCTATTTTCTTGATCTTTTAAATATTCTGGATTCTAACCTGAACTGGCCTTAATGGTTAAAGATGCATTTATATACTATGTCCTAACCAGGAAGCTTATCTTTTGAACTTTGCCCAAACTGGGTATGAAGGCACTTCCTAAAAATTCATTACATTCATTTCTGAACTTGATAATTCTAATTTGTGTTAATTGGTAAATTATGTCTTGTAGAGAGATATTTGATAGTAAATTACATGCTTTTAAAAAGAAAATTTGCTTTATAGTGAGGTGGTAATCATTTCATAATTCTTAGTTATCGGAGGTATCTACTATAGGTAATGCATCTGACCTTTTAAAATGTAAGGAAATTGAATTTATGTAATGATTCACACTTTTCAAAGTTACAAAGATAGCTCTTTTGAGAAGTTGATAGTTTGGGACATTTATTTTAAATAAAGTAGGCCTTTGATCTTATGCACATAGCCATATAAGTAAAAGGTTTCCTTATTTTAAATTAGATTACATTTAAAATTTTTTTCATTTTTGCTTTATATTTGACTGATTGCTTTTCTTTATTCTGAAGGCATCTATTAAGTTAAATTGTTCAAAATCATTTCATTTTTAAAAGCTGAGAACTGTTGTTTGTCAAATCAAAGTTGGATTTAAAAATGCACATTTTAATTTTAATAAGCTCTCTGGTAGTGGGACTGCAGTGACAGATGGTTGGGAGTTTGTCCCTAAAGCTGTGACACCAGTCTTCTAATGTGCATATTTGTTCCGTGTAGCCCTGGAAGATTCTTTCTCTATTTTCGAATGGGACAAAAGAAGAAGTGACTTCAAAGAAGAGGAAGAAGAGATGGCTGAAGTAGGTATATTATATAAGAATAACATTTTGGCCAGGCCAGGTGGCTCATGCCTGTAACCCCAGCACTATGGGAGGCCAAGGCGGGCAAATCACCTGAGGTCAGGAGTTTGAGACCAGCCTGGCCAAAGTGGCAAAACTCTGTCTCTACTAAAAGTACAAAAATTAGCCGGGCATGGTGGTGGGCACCTGCAATCTCAGCTACTCAGGAGGCTGGGGCAGGAGAATGGCTTGAACCCGGGACGGGGAGGTTGCATTGAGCCAAGTGCCACTGCACTCTTGTCTGGGTGACAAGAGCGACACTCTGTCTCAAAAATAGAAGAAAGAATCATAAATATCTCAGTTTTGAACATTTGAGTAATTCTCTAATCTCCTTTATAAATACCTACTAATGTGGAATAATTGAAAGCACATCATATTTGGAATGCAATTTAATTTATAAATTCTGGCTTTACCTCTAACTCATGATATGCCTTTGAGCAAATTTTTTATCTGAATTCTTGGATTTGATTTTCTAGAAAATAAAAGCTCTTAACTTTTAGCACTAAAATTATATGTTATACTAATCAGTACTTAACATGTATTTGGTTATTTTTTGGAAGAGAAACTACTGAGTTAAAAAATTTTATGCTTGCATAAAAGGGGAATTTGAACATACTTTATGGACTACTTGCCAGAAGTAGTGAAACTGTCTCTTGTTGAAAACTCATTCAAAGAAATTTGTCTTAGTCTGTTTTATAGTGTTTTAACAAAATAAGAGAGAGTGAGTAATTTATAAAGAACAGTCCTTTCTTTTCTGACAGTTCTGGAGTCTGGGAAATCCAAGATGAAAATGTCAGCATTTGGTGTCTCAGGGCCTTCCTGTTGCATCCTCACATGGTAGCAGGCAGAAGGGCAGGAGAGCAAGCTAGTCCAACGTGCGAAGCCTCATTCATAAGGACCTTAATCCCATGAAGGGGGAAGGAGCCCTCTTGGCCTAATAACCTCTTAAAAGTCCTACCTCTTAATATCATCACATTGGCAACACTTGAATTTTGGAGGGAATACATTCAAACAGTAGCAAATTTAGTACAGCAAATTCCAAAGACATTGAGTCTAGGCCAGTTGTCAGTTATGGGTATAATTTTAGATGTTTTCAGGCTCTGAAGTTTTGCATTTAAATTTAAACTTTGGAACAAAGATCTGTGTCTCTGCATTGACCAAATAGAATGTATGTGAATTCCATGGTCTTTATTGTTTTAAAAGATTTTTTTCTGTTTGGAGTCTTATAATTAATTTAGGATTCCATTTTCTTAGTTTGGAAGTTATTAATCTAAAATATACTTTAGAGTGCTTCAGAACTAAAACAGTAGTGCTGTAGGCTTCTTTTTGTTTTCTGAGAGAGGGTTTTACTGTCACAGAGGATGGAGTGCAGTAGCGCAGTCATGGCTCACTGTAACCTTGAACTCCCAAATTCAAGCGATCCTCCTGAGTAGCTGGGACTACAGGCCAATGCCCCATGTCCAGCTAATTTCTTTTTTACTTTTTGTAGAGTTTGAGTCTCGCTCTGTTGCCCAGGCTGGTCTTGAACTCCTGGCCTCAAGTGATCCACCACCTTGGCCTCCCAAAGTGCTGGGATTACAGGTGTGTGCCATTGTGACTGGCTGTAGGCTTGTTTTATGAGTCTGGGAGTAAAATACTTCTTAAAATTGTCCAATTACAAGGAGAGTTTGTTTTAATGTTTTTGTGCAGTTTAGCTTAGGTGGAATAAACTTCATGGAAACATTAAACCTTTTCCATGGGTCAGACATCCATTGTACTAAGGTTCATGAACCCTTTCATTTCCCCTTCACAAGTTAATCAACAAGGGACTGCCCCTTTGAGGGAAATCTACAAAGGTAGGAGACTGAACTTTGGAGATGTCAGATTAGGCCAGGTGAAAAGCAGATATTCTAAGCTCCTAAAATAACGTGGGAACAGACCAAGAGCAATTTTGGACATGGTGTGTTTGGGTGTATTGGATGCTTTTCTTTTAAGAAGGAAGGTTGATGTGTTGAAGTCATGGAAAGCAAGATTGTCCAGAAAAGGAAGATGGTTAAAAGTCTTGAATTTGAGAACGGAACATTTCTATTTGTTGTGTTTGTTGATAAGAAGGCCTTAAGCAGGGAATCGTGTGCTGATAATATTGTTTTAGAAAGATATGTTGAATTCTGTTTGGGATGTGCTGACTAATACTTAGGTGGAGAAGTTTTGTGGATGGGAACATGACTGAGGTTAAAGACACAGGAGGAAATACAGGCCAAAAGCATTTGTGAGCACTGTGGGGAAAACAAGCATAGGATGGAAGATCAGAGCTGAAAAGTGCACACAGGGAGAAGGGAGCTCCATGAAGTACAGAGTCATGGGCAGAGTTTGAGTGGAGGTAGCCAGTAATCTGGTCTAGAAATCGGGTAATTAGCCAGCTTGGGGGGGAGAAAATCGAGATAAATATAAAGTACTCCTTTAGAGATTTTGGCAATTGAAGTAGAAAAATAACATAATTGAAAAAAGTTAGGATTTAAACAATTCTGCATATATTTGTATATATGTAAGAACAGATAGTATGGGAAAGGAGGGAGCAGAATGTGTGAATAAAGATTTTGTTCTGCGGGGTATTATTCAAATTCTTTTAAAAGTATTCTTAGTTTTTGAGATAGGGTCGCTGTCACCCAGGCTGGAGTGCAGTGGCGTGATCATAGCTTACTGCAGCCTGAAACTCCTGGGCCCAAACGATCCTTCTATTTCAGCCTCCTGAGCACCTGAGATCAAATGCTTTTTTTAACTTACTTTTAAGTTGTTAACATCAATAGATGCTTCCTACATAAAACCATAAACCTGGAAATTAGGGGAAGCACCAGATCTCTCCAGAGATAATAACTAAAATTAATTGAAATTAACATTTCAATATGAGTTCTTCTGGTCTTTTTCTGTCCTTATTTCAGCATAATTGAAATTCTTTCTATTCCTTTGTGTATTCCATTTTTCATTTCAAAGTTTTTCAATACAGGATAAATTATGCTATATTGGTATTTCTGTGGCCTCTTAATATTTCATGGACTTGAGTTAACTGTTTTGCTATTTTTGCACATGCAGATTTTGTGTTTGTTTTTGTGGTTGCAAGGTTGGAATAGGTATCCTCATGCCTAAATTTGTGCTTCCATCTTAGACTAGTTTCTTCTAATACAATTCTAGAAGTCGAGTTTCCGGAATAAACTATGAACAGTTAAGGTTCTTGACCCCTGCTGCCAAACTGTTTCAAAGGTTCCTCGTAAGAGGCGATTTAAAAGATGGCTTGGCTGGGTGTGGTGTCTCATACTGGTAATCCCAGCACTTTGGGAGGCTGAGGTGGGCAGATCACTTGATGTCAGAAGTTTGAGACCATCCTGGCCAACATGGTGAAAACCCTGTCTCTCCTAAAAACACAAAGAAATTAACTGGGCGTGGTAGTGTACATCTGTAATCCCAGCTACCCAGGAGACTGAGGCATGAGAATCACTTGAACCCGGGAGGCAGAGATTACAGTGAGCAGAGATTGCCCCACTATAGTGCTGCCTGAGTGACAGAGTGAGACTCTATCTTCAAAAAAATAAAAGAAGATAAGTTAAATAAAGAAGTAAATAAATTAATGATAGTCTATTTCTTACTAGTTGTGACTTTGTAAAGCTTTTAAATCTGCTTTACCCAGAGTCTAGCTTTTAAAGAAAATACAGGATATAAAAGGTAGGAGCCTCTTGAATGGAATGTGGGGCTTTTTCTCTCTCCCCATAGAATAGATATATTGTGTTTCTTGTTCCCCATTGAGTCAAGAATAATTGAACTTTTGGCATAAGAAACTGCTGAAGAAATATCAGTTGAATAACCTAATATTTCTCTTCTTTTTGCAGGATATAGAAGACTTAGATCACTATGAGATGAAAGAAGAGCCTATGAGTGGGAAACAGTTGGAGGATGAAGGAACTGAAAAAGAAAATTGGGCAATATTAGAGAAAATTAGGAAGACTGAAAGGTACGACCATTTAAATGTGGAAGCGTGTATCAATATCTGGAGCCTGGACTTTTTGGTTAAGTAATTATAGTTAATACCAGGCAATTCATGAACATGCCAATCTCAGCTGCTCTCCTCCTCCATTCCTGAGTTAGTGGTGGATTCAGTCATATGGTTATTGGTTTTGAGACAGGGTCTTGCTCTGTCACCTGGGCTAGAATGTGGTGGCACAATCATAGTTCACTGTAACTAGCCTTTATCTCCCAGGCTACAGCAGTCCTCCTGCCTCAGCCTCCCAAGTGTCTCAGACTATAGGCATATGCCACCACACCAAGCTAATTTTTTTTATTTTTAGTGAAGATGGAGTCTCACTGTGTTGACCATGCTGGTCTTGAACACCTGAGTTCAAGCAGTCCTGCTACCTTGCCCTGACCAAGTGCTGGGATTATAGACATGAGCCACCATGTGTACTAGCCACACTCATATGCTTTGTTGCCCAAGGTTATCTTTCTCATCTATGAATAGCCACTTTTTATCCTGTTCATCTGCTCTTCACATCCTGGAACCACCTGCTGATCCCTGTATATGCCCCGTTCCAGCTGTCTATGCTGTTTTCTCTGCTGACCTTCCTTCTGTGGCATCTGTACATTCAAATTCATTCTCTCCTACAAAGCACAGCTCCAATTATTTCTCCTTCATGAAGCTGACTTTGATCCATCCTGCTCTGACCAGACCAAAAGTAATGTTTCTCTTTTGACTTTACATCTCTTTATGAGAAGCAGCAGGATGGGAAAGGAACACTGAGTTTGGTGACAAACACACCTTGTATGGTTTCACTTTGCTCAACTCTAAAATATGGATAGACAGTACATATCTTTTGAATAGTTGCTATGAAAAATGAATTCAAATGATACAGGTATACACATAAAATGCTTAGACAGTGTAGGGAAACATCAGATGTTTGTCTGACCACTTACTGCTTCCTGTCTTGTATTAGAGCTATTTACTGACTCCGCAATATCTGAGGACCAGTTACTTTGTCTTGGGTACAGGTTCTCCAAAACAGGGAATGAATTGTTAGCCAAGTAGATGCCAAATGTTGAAATCAGATAGCTAACTCTCCCTCCTTCAATCTTATTTGCATATTAATTTAATAGGCAGTTTTTCATACAGCAAAGAAATTTAGTTAATCCCCCATATCTTGATTATTTACAAAACTAAGATTGTAGCATTTGAATTAATGTCACTGTACTTTCTGTGTCTTGTAATCAATTCCAGTTTGAGTTATCTTCAAAAGAAGTATAAATTATTGAACACTTTTGCATGACCGATACTATGCTAAATACTTTATAGATCTTTTCATTTAGTCATCATAGCCACTGTGTGAAATAGGTACGCTTGATATTTTAGAGATAGGAAAAACTTCTCATATTTTATAGAAATGAAATGAGTTCATGGTTACATAGTTAGGAAGTAATATTTTTATCAACTTGATTTTTTTGCCCTTCAAAGTCTAGTGCAGTCTTTAAAACCTTTAGTTTCTCATGACCAAAAAGTAGTTCCATTTCTGTTTAGTCTTAGGATAAGATATTGATGTGTTTTCATCATTACAGAAGTCCCTGCACTGAAAAACTGAAACCAGTTGCATGTAGGCACACATGGTTCTCAGTGTCTAATGTGTGAACTAGACCATCTGTGTAATATTCTTACTTGTAGTCTTATGAATGGAAGCCTATTTTAGTTAATAATGTCACCTTGAGTGTCTTCTAGTATTTTCAAAAATTGCTGGGGTTTGAAATAGACTCATACTGAATTCTAGGCTATCATGGAGTCCATGGTGGTATGAACATGTTGACTAGAGGTTTTTAGGTGATAAGAAAAAGGAAATGAACCACTTGTGTCTAGTTTTATATTCTCTTGAAACTTCATAATGCTTCATTTAATTGTACTTTTTTTTTTTCACTTCTTAGATTGTTGAGTAGTGATCAATTTTTATTGTAATCTTTTTCTTTTTTCTTTTCTTTTTTTTTTCTTTTGAGATGGAGCCTTGCTCTGTGGCCCAGGCCAGGGTGCAGTGGCACCATCTCAGCTCACTACCACCTCCACCTTGCAGGTTCAACTGATTATCTTGCCTCAGCTTCCTGAGCACCTGGAACTACAGGCACGTGCAACCACACCTGACCGACTTTTGTAATTTTTTAGTAGAGATGTGGTTTCATCCTGATGGCCAGGTTGATTTCAAACTCTTGGCCTCAAGTGATCTACCTGCCTCAGCCTCCCAAAGTGCTGGGATTACAGGTGTGAGCCACCGTGCCTGGCTACTGTAATCTTTTAGAGCAGGTTGAAATACCTCAAATCTTTACGTTAGTTGATTCAGTCAACCCTGGTAAACAGCGGCCTTTCTGTTTCAGCCTGCAGTGTCTGGGTCAGTGCAAGCTTCAGATAGACTTATGAAGGAGCTCAGGGACATATAGAGATCACAGAGTTATAAGACAGGTAAGGATCTCTAAATCCCTGCTCTTATTGTTCTTTTGTTCTTTTCTGTTGTCCAATTATAAATGTCATTTCTTAAAACTGGGCAGAAATGGAAATGTTTACTAGCTTTATTTTGTGAAACTCGAATGCAATCAAGTTCCAAAAGATGTAGGGGGTAAGATAGGATGAGTATGCTCTTGGTTTTATAGGCCTGTTGGAATTCTTTTTGTCATCTTCCTGATAGAGTGAACATTTACATGATTTTTATCTTGTGGCAAAAAGCTTGAGCAATATTGCTTGATGAGTAAATAAGAGTAATACATTTCATTCTACAGAGAATGATTACCAAGTTGATTTTTGTGATTTTCCCCCCAGTTTTGAAAGCAACATAATCAACTCTTATTGTGGAGGTAGTTATGTTATTACTTTCAAAATATATAGGTGGAGTACACCTGTAGTCCCAGCTACCAGGGGTGGTGGGAGGCTGAGGCAGGAAGATCTTTTGAGCGTGGAGAAGTCAAGGCTGCAATGAGCTGTGATTGCACCATCATATTCCAGCCTGGGTGACAGAGTGAGACACCCTGCCTCATAAAGCAAAACTAAGGGGGAGTGAGGGGTGGGATACATATTGGATATGTGTATATAGGACAGTTGTAGAAACATACTGATTTTTTAGTGATTTAACTTTTGATGGTTCCGTCCATGGCAAATTTTCCTCCTTGAACAGCTTGGCTAGTAATACAAGTTTAGGAAAGCATATTAAACTTTTTTTGAATTCTTGAGAAAATTATATACATGTGACTGTTTTCCTTTAGAATGACTGAAAACTCTGAACCCCCTTATTAGATTAGATTTAGGCTATTATGATCTCTTTGGGACTTTTATTCTACAGGAGCTGGAAGCTATAGTTGCCTCCATTTTTCCCGGGGATATAGAGCAGCTTGAGATCTCCTCTTTCTGGAACCTACCCTAGGTGCTCTATTTTAGCTTTCAGATTGGTTCATTTTTGAGTTAGTACAAATAATAATAATAATCTTTCTGTTTGAATTGTTTTTTTGTTTTGTACATCTCAAGGTTGAACCTGATAGTCCTTTGCACAGTGATCTTCAGATCTTAAAAGAAAAACAAGGAATAGGAGACATTTTGCTTATCTTTTAAGGTAAGAAAATTGTTATGAGACTCTATATCCTTCTAATGGGCGTGTATATTTGTACAAGTGTTTTGGAAAACAGTTTGGTAAAGTGGAAGATACTCATACCCTATGGTTCAGGAATCTTGTGGATATATACTCCACAAGAAATGAGTACATAGGTGCCAGGAGACACAGGAATGTTCAGAGCAGCATCATTTATAATAGCCCCAAACAGAGAAGAACCCAAATGTTCATTCCAATAAACTGGATGATTGTGGTATTCATAAAATGGCTTGCAGCTATGTGGGATGAGATGGGCAGATCTTGAACACTATGTTGAGCAAAAGAGACCAGACCCTCAAAACTTATTTTGTACAATTTCCTCTATACAGAGTTCAAAAATAGGCAAAAGTAATGTTGGTTAGAGCATACATTCTTAGTGGAGGCAATGTCGCCTGCAGTGGAGTGAAAATCGGTCCTTAGAGTGAAAGAAAGTCTTACCTATTGTAATGGTCTGCTGCCCTCCAAGGAGCCATAGAACATAAATGAAAAGAAAACTGAGAAACACTTATTTATGGATTCATAGTTGGGCAGTAAAACTATCAAGAAAAAAGAGGTGATTACACACAGGGTAGGGTAAGGAGTCCATCTAGGTGGGAGGTAGAGAGGTGTGAACTGAAAGGTACATCTGTGGGCTTCTTGGATACTGACTGTAATATATTTCTGGACCAGGGTTGGTGGTTACATGGACAAATAATTTAGAATAACTTGTTAAGGTATACTTTAAGGTATATTTTGTGTACTTTTCTGAACATGTCATATTTCATAAAGTGTTTTTAAAATACTAAAAATAATTGCTTTTTATTTGGGAATAAATGGATTTAACCATACCGCTAGCCCGGCATGTTTCTGTTTCCCTCACTGGGTCCTGGAGTTTGCGCCACTGAACAAGGAGCCCCAGAGTGTCTGAGCATGTCCAGCTGGGCTGTTGGGGACCTCCCAGGCCTGTTACCTGTATGCTGCCTGGTGACGCCTAGGGGATTCCACGGCACCTATGGGGCACAGTCCGGTCCTGACGGCCAACAGGCTCAGAAGCCTCATCTAGCGGTGGCTGGGAAGGCAGGATGCCAGCACCCAAGGGCACTGACTTCCATGCACATGAGGCGTCTTCCTTTCGGCCACCCTGCCTCCCTCGCCTGTCTGCACCTAGTGGCTTATTCTGTCTGTCCCTCCAGAGTGCGGACGCCGCTCACGTTCCCTCCAGGCTGAGTTCATGGCCCTGCCCCCTAGTGGCCAGAACCGGCTTCACCGGATGAGAGCCGCTAAGCTCCAGGGGCTTTCCAGGAAAAGTGTCCCTTGGAAAGGATCTGGCCTCTTCACTGCTCCCAATACCCTAGTAATGGCTTGGCCTTTCCCCTCCGCTCAACTCTACAGACAACACAGCCAGGAGAGGACACATTCCCTGTCATCCAGAAATGGGTTTGCTTGTCAGCCAAGGGACAGCAGGACTGTCAGGCCACATGGCAACCCCCATTCTTGGCAGGGGGTGGGAGGGATGGCAGGGCTGGTTGTCCACAGGCCAGGCATGACAGGGAGGCCCACTGGATGTGGCGCACTTTGGAGGGGGGATGTCGGGGGACAGATATGGGTCTCAGTAAATAGATCTGCTCTTTTACAATTTCTGCACCAATTTGCCATACTTGGAGATGACACATAGCAGCTTATTTTTTACTTTTTCAAGAAAGGATATCATGGAAAGAAATCGAGCTGCCTTTCTATGAATAGAACTCAATTGCCTTCCAGCCGTAGGCTGCATGCTTCAAAATGTTTATCAGAAATAAGAAATGGGTTGAGCAGCACCATCCATAGCCTTACACTGAGCGTTCCCACCATGACCTCTACCATGTAGGAAGTGCCTTGGTTAATTATGAAACCAGTGAAAATGAGATGAAAAGTCCTATTCCCATGCAGACCAGTTGGGTTATGCAGAGACGCAGTCACCAGGACACAGCCCTAACCACAATGTGCCCTCTGGAAAACGTGTGTCTCTGTTCACATGGAAATGACACAAGTCTAGTTCTTGTCCAAAAGTCATGCAGCAAAACAAAAATGTCTGCAAAACTGGGAAGAACTTTTTACCATGACTTTGATTTTGAGGGTGCTCTTTAGCAGAGGCTGTTGATGAAGGAAGAATTCTATCAACCAGAACCACTGAGCAGGAATGAATCTATAACCCCCTTTTTTAAGGCCAGAAAGGACCTTAAGTTCCTTCTATTTCCAGAGCAGGGAACTAAAGCCCAGAGATGACAAAAGATTTAGCCTCTTTAAAGGCTCCATCCAGCCCCTCCATGAAAAGGAAATGGGCCAACGTTGGCTTCAGTATTCTAAACTTTTGGAAAGTGGTAAAAATGAAGGACATTGAACAAAAATACTAGGGTTTTTTTCCATCTTGTTCAGTGAGTGTCAACATACTACATGTTTTTCATAGTGGTTAATTTTTATGATAAAAAGATATTATCATTGTATAAAATTTGGGAAATTCAAAAACCTATGGAGAAGAACATTTAAATTATCCATAACCCCACAATTTATTCATTTGCTTATTCAAGCAACCAATAAAAGTGCATGCCTTACCAAGAGCAGGGCGTGTTCCAATACTGACTATCCAGAAATGATAGCCTTGAATTGATTCCCTTCCAACTCTTTTCTCAATGCACCACTACTAATAATTTAAAAATCAGGTTATTTAGTTTTGGAATCTCCTTTTCACTTAACATATCACAAACTTTTTCCCAGGTTATCAAATAATATTCCAAGCTATGATTTTAACAGCTGCATCACATCATATCAGTTTACATTATTAAACCATTCTACTTGAGACATAAGAGATGATCAATTTTTCAACATTATAAATAATGTTGCATGTAATATTCTTTGGTCACACACCTGATTATCTTTGGAAAACTTCCCTAGAATTCAGATTGTTAGATCAAAAGTCTTAAATATTTTTAAGGTTCTAAATACACAATGCTCAACTGCTTTCTTGAAAGAGTGTAATAGTTTTACTTCTACCAGCTACAAGAGTGTCTTTCATTCACACAGCAAGGCCTGCCTCTCAAAACAATGGGTTTAAAAAAAATCATTGTCACTGAGTCAAAATGGTTTTTCTTTTAATTTGTATTTTTTACTTGACACCGTAAATCAAATTTTAAAAATTTTGTTTCATCATAAATTACCTATGCATGCTTTTTGCCATTTTCCTATGGAATTGTTAATATTTCTTTCTTTTCTTTTTTTTTTTTTTTTTTTTTTGAGACGGAGTCTCGCTCTGTCACCCAGGCTGGAGTGCAGTGGCCGGATCTCAGCTCACTGCAAGCTCTGCCTCCCGGGTTAAACGCCATTCTCCTGCCTCAGCCTCCCGAGTAGCCGGGACTACAGGCGCCCGCCACCGAGCCCAGCTGGTTTTTTGTATTTTTTAGTAGAGACGGGGTTTCACCGTGTTAGCCAGGATGGTCTTGATCTTGTGACCTCGTGATCCGCCCGTCTCGGCCTCCCAAAGTGCTGGGATTACAAGCTTGAGTCACCGCGCCTGGCCTCTTTCTTTTCTTTTTCTTTTTCTTTTTTTTTTTTTTTTTTTGAGACGAAGTCTTGCTGTGTTGCCCAGGCTGGAATTCTATGGCACGATCGTGGCTCACCGCAACCTCTGCCTCCCGGGTTCAAGCAATTCTCCTGTCTCAGCCTCCCGAGTAGCTGGGATTACATGCATGTGCCACCATACCTGGCTAATTTTGTATTTTTAGTAGAGACAGGGTTTCCCCATGTTGATCAGGCTGGTCTCAAACTCCTGATCTCAGGCGATCCACCAGCCTTGGCCTCCCAAAGTGCTGGGACTACAGACGCGAGACACCACGCCCAGCTGGAACTGTTAATATTTCTTCTTAGCATTCTAGTCTTGATATTTCTTAGTGAAGGATTTTTCTGACTGCATTGTGAGATCTAGCCTCCTGGCTGGGGCAGCAGGAGGTGGAGTGGAGAAACAGCGGGAGTCAGAGCCAGGCTTGTTCTCTTAGTCCTTCCACAATCACCAAGGTGTGACCTGGGCCAACTCTTTTGGTATCTCTGGGCTTCAGTTCCCTTCTCTGTAAATAGAAGGGTCTTAAGGTCACTTCCAGTCCTATAAAAGGGAGTTTCAAAGCTTCTTTCACTGTCATAATTGTGATCAGCTTTGAAGGAGGTAGTGCTAGTGGGTAAACATCAAATTGTAAGCTTGCTTCCCCAGTTCTAACCTACTAGTACCACCTACACTGAGAAAATCACTTCGACACTCTTAGTTTCTTGATCTGTAAATGGAAAACTTGTTTTACAGATTTGTTGTAAAAGTTATGTGAAATAATAAAAATCAAAGTGTATAGATTGTAATATACCACAGACAGACAGGCTGGGCATGGTGGCTCACACCTGTAATCCCAGCATTTTGGGGGGCTGAGGCAGGCAGATGACTTGAGGTCAGGAGTTCGAGACCAGCCTGGCCAATATGACGAAACCCCAGCTCTACTAAAAATACAAAAATTAGCTGGGCGTGGTGGCTCATGCCTGTAATCCCAGCTACTCCAGAGGCTGAGGTGGGAGAATCACTTGAACCCTGGAGACAGAGGTTGCAATGAGCCAAGATCACACCACTGCACCCCATCCTGGGCAACAGAGACAAACTCCATCTCAAAACAAAACAAAACAAAACAACAACAAAATATATATATATATTTATATATACATAATATACTCTGTATATATTATATACACCACAGACATACACACACACTGTGAAGTTGCATTTTTAAAGAATTTAATTTTCATAACCTTAGTGCACAAAAAAGTAAAGAAAAAATTTTTTAACTTGTTGCATGTAACCTCCCTTTCAAACTAGACTCCAGCCTCCAGTGCTCCAGAGAATGAGACAACAGAGAGAATGTAAATAGAAACAAAAGAAGCTAAATCTTAGTGTTTGAGCTTCTAAGCATGGAGCCTCAAGTGATATGCAATTTTCTGAAGCACTTCTGTACATGATTTCTCCTTGTGTGTGCTGACTTGACAGCTTAATTCACACACATAATAGGCACACACATACCTCACACACATAAACCTACCTTATATATATACCTTACATAAGTGCTTCACACCCACTATATATCTAATCCCTTTTATAGGCATTTGGCAATAAAAGCAGAAAATGTGATTCAAAAAATAGAAACCACTCTCATTTTAACTCTTTCCTTTAATTTTTGTCATTTAAAACTTATAAATTTGACAGGCTGTATTTTTAAAACAGACTATTTTTAAAACCTTTAATACTAGTCTCATATACGGTCTATTTCTATTAGTTGTAGTTT